CCACCCCCTCTCAAAGCGATTTGCCTTAGACGTTTTTTTTTCCTCTTTACCCTTTTGAATGAACATAGGCAAAAGAATTTTATGATCACATTTAAGCTTCTGTATATTTGCTTAGTTCAAAACAAATAAAGATAGACTTGATTCTGTGGTTGTAAACCAGTTTAATTTTTAGAAAAAATAATTAAATGTTAACTTGCTATGCTTTATCTACTTCTATATTAAGAAATATAGTTATATATTATTATTAATGAATTTTTCAAGTTTTTAAATAATTGTTTTTTTGTTTTCTTGCTTTAAACTTCTTTCCTATCATTTAGTCGACTCCATTCCAACAACCTGTACTGTGACTGCCATCTGGCCTGGCTCTCCGACTGGCTTCGCCAACGGCCTAGGGTTGGCCTGTACACTCAGTGTATGGGCCCATCCCACCTGAGGGGCCATAATGTAGCTGAGGTTCAAAAACGAGAGTTTGTCTGCAGTGGTAAGGGAGAAAGAAGGGCCATGTTATTGTATTTTCATATGCTGTTATGTCACAGAATGTGAAGAATGCATGCTTAAAAGGTTTCAGTGTTACTTACAACATGTGCAATTGTGCACTAATTACTTAATGGAGATGCTCTTTTTTTAGTGATAATACATTTTAAGACATTTGTATATTTTTGACTACTACTGATTACTTGTACCTAAGTTAAGATCAAAGATTTTTCAGTTTTCACTCCAGGAGAAGTATAGGAAATGACAAGATTATGGTTCTACATGGGAATCACTATGTTTCTTTAAGTAACAAATTATATCTATTTTTATGTTAACAACGGAAAAATGATTAGCTAATCCTGGATTCCTACTGTGAAATTCAAAAAGTAATTCAACCATGGTTCCAAAGTGACAAAATACTCTTCATGTATACATATATGAGGGTACTGCAAAAAGCTCATGGGAGCATTTGTATAATCTTTTGATTCTATTTTTCCACTAACTTTTTGAAGAACCCTCCTATACTAATGGTTCAATTCTATTATTTAAACAAATAAATAATTAGCTTTAATAACAAAAGTAAGACATGGGCTATGTGAAATATCAGTAGCTGATGTTTACTAAGTTCTTCTATGTGCTTAAGCACCAATCTAAGTATTTTGCATAGGAAAGATTTTCAAAAAGTTCATGGAAATATTTGTATTACCTTTTAATTCTAATTTTCTATGAGCTATTTGAAGTACACTCGTGTGCATGTGTATGTGTATCCATATAGATATATCTTATAAATATAGAGCTGGTTCTGTTTCAGAAGTTTCTTTTCAAAATACAATAAAATAAATTTTTAAAAGCATATAATGTTTATCATAAATATTTAATAGTTTTTTAAAGGAGGAGCGGGGAGACATTGTTGGTACTTGATTCTATTCTGTTGTTATCTTTTAGAACTTTTTATGTATTTTCTCACACTTTTTATAACCTAAAAAAATTCTCTTATAATGTCATGGAATGTTCTCATTAAGTCTGATTGCTTTTTAAAAAATTAAACAATGAAATGACTAACAATTTGTTACTAACTGCTTTTTTCTCTCTTTACTTTTTTCCTTCCTGCTTTCTAGAAGAGGAAGAAGGCAAGTTCACGTTTCTTTTTTAGATCGAGAGTATTTTTGTAAAGTTTGAGATCTTGTTTAGAGGGATTGGGTTAGCGACTAAGTAGCAGCCTCTTTCTGGTGCCTCACCGCCACTAGGGACCTTTCCCTACAGGTCAGAGGGGGCTGTCCCTGTTCTCCGGAAACCATGAGTTTCCAGATGCCCGTTTGGTACAGCCCTGCTGACATTCTGTTGTTTATCATCCGAACAGTAAAATCTCATTTCAGAATTCTTTTGTTTCCAAATATTGAGTTGTAAAAATACATACCTGCAGGCAACTACTTTTGCTAAAATTTCAAATCATGTGAAACCCAAAAAAGAATCATAGAGATTAACAATTATAGAGTGACATGATACAAATTATTATAATAACTTCAAAGAAAGCAGTAATTTTGAACCTTTCCAGATGTCAAACTTAGCGTTATCTAATTTTCCCCTGCATTTATTGGCACATGATTACTTAATTTGAGTAACAGTTATGTCTACCAAGACAGCAGTCTTACTGCTTTTCTTTCTTTCTTTTTTTTTTTTTTTGAGACAAAATAAATTAAGCCACACAAATTCGATGAAGACCAAGCTCTATTTAAGCTTATTAGAAATGAATATAGATTAGTCTGAAATTGCTGCTTTTTTTGGAAATCAGAAGAGTTTTGAGTAGAAGTCTGGTTTTGAATCTGAATTTAGCCTTTCTCACAATTTCTTCAAGGTTTAAAAATTACCACTTTCATGACCAGTTTTTAAAATTTTATTTGCTACATCTGAATATTAACCCTGAAATATAAATGCATGCTTCCTAAATATATATTTTAGAAACATAGAATCATTTTATCATCACTTATTTAGAGAAATTTATTTCTGTCACATGCTTTGTTATTGAGCAAAGTTTGCATGTTTCGTAACTATGAAATTCAGGAGGAAAAATATTGCTGTTTGTTTCTTTTTTAGGTCACCAGTCATTCATCGCTCCTTCCTGTAGTGTTTTGCACTGCCCTGCTGCTTGTACCTGTAGTAACAATATTGTAGACTGTCGTGGGAAAGGGCTCACGGAGATCCCTACAAATCTACCAGAGACCATCACCGAAATGTATGTGCACTGAAATGCTTTCTTATCCCTCTAATTGCTAAGTGAACTAAACCTCGATTTTCTTTAGGAAATTTTGGGTTTATCAAAGGTGCATCTGATCAATTAGCTTAGACAAATGTTCTTTTCAAAAGTGTATTGACCTTTACTCTGTTTAATTAAACATCTTGTTAAAGGGGCTAGGATTTTTTTTCCCCACAGGTAGGATTATAAGGAATGCATTTTAAGGAAAAATAGTACTTTCTCTTTCCTTGAGAATGTGTTATTAGGCTATTCAGGAAAAATAAGAGTGTCTATCCCTAATCTGGCCTTTTGGGTTTGTAGATCTACTATTGTGCATTTCCAGTGTGGATTGGTAGGATTACAAAGAGGGACCACGCTGGGACTAGTAAACTGTAATGGCAAGATAACTGGATTATGTTCTTCCTCCTCAAGAGCTAACATTTTAAAATGCAGGTTCACTATTTTGTTCGAATTGATAGTCTAATGCAAAGCGTAAAAAGAATAATATTATAAAGTTAAATATAAAGATTTTTAAATTAGTCAGCATTTTAGCCTGTTTGAGCCAGTGCCTGACTACCTGCATCAAAAGTTAAATTCTGATGACAAGGTATCACATACATATTTTGTAAGCAGCTGCTGAATGCATTTCTATGTCCTTGCCAAATATACGTCATGTGGATAAAACAAGGTCACCACATAAGAGGTAAAAGGGAATGCTTTTACCATCTTGGGGTGTAAGCACTAGGGAAAATCTCTGCCTCAATATTCATTAATTAAGAAAGCACCTCTTAACCACCCCATCATATTATTGCCTTATAGGTAAATTCTAAATTGTAACTAAATAGTTTTGGATGTTTTTGGTGAAAATAGTAAAATAGAACCAACCTCTTGTGATAGACCTACATAATAGGCCACAAAAATTATTTTTCAAAACTGCTCATTTATTTTTACCAATTTGTTTAATTGCTTTAATAAATTAACTGCCCTCATTTACTTTATATGAGAATAGGCTCAGTTCAGAGACTCACTTCCATTATTTTAAAGTATCTAACATGTGTAACAGTGCACTCAGAGCTTTGCAGTGTAAGGTATGATCCTCTGCAGGACTCTAGAATCTGTGGAGTTTTAACACAGGCACTGAATTACATATGCACATAATAATAATATTCTTGTCAAAATTTTAATTTTTGGAGAACTACCTTACCTATAGAAAACATTTGTAAGTACTTTTTAGCTGAACTTTGAAAGAAGAATAAGATATGGTTTTGGAAGAGGCAGGTGGCATTCCATGAAAGAGACATATCAGGAACAAAGGGCAGAGGTGGCCGTGAGAATTGTGTTTGAGAAATTGTACAATTGAATCTAATCAGAGCAATAGGTTCATGTTCAGGCCTCATGGAAAATAATGCCCCCCAAAAGACAAATACATCTAATTCTAAAGTCACATGATACCGAAGTCCTTTAAGTTAGTCAAAAGATACTAGATACAAAGAAGTAGATAGTAGAAAGACATACTAAGTTTTCTAACAGGGGAATAGTACGTTTATCTTTTCAGGCATGAGCATGTCTTAGGTAAGCACTTACTAAGTAAAGGCACTGTGAATTTTCCGGAGATCTTCCATCAAATGGCTAGCAAATTTGACATGCAAATTAAAAACTATAAAATGAAGTACAATGTAAGAGATGAACCTATAAAGTTCAAGATATTACAGAGGGTGTAAAGTGGAGGGCAAGATACAGTGGTTAACTAGAGTCAGAAAGTTTTAGTCGGAACCCCAGGTTTACCTACCATTTATTATCTGTGAAACCATGGACAAGTTACTCATCTAATATGAGCCTGTCTCCTCATCTGAAACTAAGGGTTGTTGTCAGTTTGAAAGGAAATAGTTCACACATGTAGAGCTATATATGCTTAGCATGTAGTAATCATTCCGTAAATGGTACCTCAGTTGTGGAAGTCTTCATGTGGAAGTGACACCAGAACTCAGCCTTGAAAGATAGGTAGTGAATGGAAATACAGAGATGAGAAAAGGACTTTCAGAATTAATAGAATATCATAGCATAGGTAATAAGAATGAAAGTACAAGACATCATAAGACAGGAACTCTGTTTGGTACTGGAAAATAAAGTTGGAAAGGTAGATTGGAGCCAATTCATGGCGGATCTTATAGTAGAAGATCTTAGATTTTATTTGCAATGCATTTGAACACAAGAGTTTTACTCTGAGTCTCCCAGAAGAATTAGTCTGACAGCTCTGTACCAGTGATTTGGTAAAAGGAGAGAATGCAAGGCAGGAGGCTTCTTGGGAGGTGTATTCATGCTGATCCAGGGGAAACGTCAGAAGAGCATGAGCTAGTTAGTAACAGTAGGGATGGTGATGTGCAAACAGATGTGATAGGTAATATAGAAGCAGAATTAATGGGATTTAGCATGTGAAGAGATGAGGGAGAAATGGAGAAAAATAAAGCAAAGATGATGCAGGACTTTCAAGTATGAGTGATGGGGAGGTGTTGGTTATATCATTGCATGTCAGAAGCTGAGGAGCAGAACCAAACCTGGGGAGGAAGATGATGGTGAACTCAATTTGTGCAATACAGAAGTACCAGCGACACATTTAGAGGCACTGAAATAATACTGACTATAATAATTTTAGAGCAAGACAAGGACTTCAGGCAAAGATTATGAAATAACTAACATAATAAAAAACAAAGTTGAGAGTTAAAACCATCAAAATGGCCAATGGAAAGGAGAGCAAAAGAAGAGAAACCCGAGGACCTTATAAAAACAGCAGAGGGCTCTAATAGGGAGGGAAGAAAGGGGATTCTAGGAAAAAGGATCTGCAAAGGCAGCTACTGCTGCTAAGGAACCAAGCTGCGGTCTGAGAGCAGGTTTTGGAATCTGACCAGCAGATTGTTCTCGGAGGACTCAATTTCAATCGGGTGGTAGGTAAGTAACCGCCTTTTCAGAGTGTTGAGAAAGGGAGTATTGATGAGTATTGGGGAAAGCAGATACAGAGCAGTTTGAAGAGTTTGTCTGAGAAAGGTTTTTTTTAAAAAATAAAATTGGTTTTATATAGGACAAACATGGATTTATTTCAAGTTGAAGAAATCTGCAATCATTAGAAAGTCAGAAAGAAAGAAAGAGTTTGAGGGGAAATGAGAGCATGAAACATAAATAATATAAATGTGGAAGCAAGATCATTCTGCACATAGGAGGGAATTGATCAAATCCAGGTCATCCTATGAACAAAAAGCTGTTGGATGTTGACAAAAAGAGAAGCATAAGTTGTAGACATAACATACTGAAAGCAATATAAGACATTTAAAATGGTTTATCTTCTGTAGTGTATTTTATTTTTTATCATAGTGCTTTTCTTCTATTTTTATGCTCTATAGATTTTGTATAATGGTGGAATTTAGTAGCATAAAAGTTATACTAAATAACACGTCCCATTGGGTTTGCCTATATTGAGGAGGTGGTGTATCAGATAAAGCTACAATAAATTAAATTTATAAGTAGAGATTAAAACAAGTAAAGCTCTAGGAGAATTCTACTTCTCTATTACATTATCAGCTTTATTGGCAGAGCATCTGGTAATAAATCATATTGATCCTCAACTCCAAGAAAATTCTTTCGTTTTCATTCATTATAATGGTATAACCAACTTAGTAACTCACTTCTTCTCTTACTCTTTTATTTTTTTGTAAGAATCATAAAATGTGGAAATAAATCTATCTTCTTTATCTTTAGAAATTATAGGTTTTTAATTCATGATGAACTGAAAATTATCAACTCCCCCCATATTATTCAAACATTTTTTTTAATATCTGGACTTTACATTATTAGTAGAATTGCTTAATGGCAAAATAGCACATACTTCATTCAATAATTTTAACTTGATTTCCTACTATGTGGTATTTCTTTGTTCTTGCAACTGTCTGATAATATAATTCTAAAAGAAAGTACAAGGGTACATCAAAGAGTTCATGGAAAGATTCTCGTTGTCTTCTGTCTACTTTTCCATGAATTTTTTGAAATGCCCCCATATGTATGTGCTATATAGGCTATCAACTGCCCCCAAATCTAGGTAGAAAAACTACCCCTAAACCTAGGTAGAAAAAACACTTTTTTTTCCTGCTTTGTATTTGCAACTACAAATTTATACTTCTGGTATTTGCTAAAACAATTATTTGTTAAGCCATAGAAGGGAACAGGTTAGGAGTAACTTTAAAAATCTTGCCTATGAAGAAAATTTAAATGCAGCAGAAAGAAAGATAAGGCATTAAGGTATAGAAAAGTTTGTAAAACTGGATCTGTTTCATAATACATTGCAACTACTATAATGTCAGTTTTTCTGTTCTCTTTTGCATGTTCTCATGTTTCCCTGAATTTTGCCTGCACCGAACTTATCATAGTTTAGTTTGTTACTTTGACTAATGTCAAACTATTCTGTGAGACTGCAAGCTTGACGAGGGCAGAACCATGTCTATTTTCTCAGCATTTCTGCCCCAACACTTAGTGTGATGTGGGTGGGCAGAAGGACAGTGTTGGGAGTAGGTGGAGGGGGTCTCATATACACAATCTGGAGAGCACCCAGGCCTCCATTCTCACTTGTGAAAACAAGTGACAAAGAAAGATGGACTAATGCAGAGAAGATAGAAGGGGGAGATAGAATGTATAATGTAAGATAAAATTAGGTGTAAAAGAAAGAAGCTGTGCTCCCCTGGAATCTGCCCAGCACTTTGCTGCTTTGAACTCTGCTGACTGAAAACCTTGTTCCCAAACAGATGAGATGCCTCAGGCAAGTCTATACACGATCTGGTCCATGGCAACAAAATCATTAATAGCAAATGATTCTCGATATATCAACTCCTCAGAATTAATTACTTAGACCACATTTTGAGGTGTAAAATTTTTAATACGATGCAATGGATTGCTATAAAGTTAGACTTTTAGTTCTCTGAAATCCACTTACAGACTTTCTGTGTCATATCATCTTT